AGGAATAAATAAATAAAAAGTAAACTTTTGTCACATAACTTTAATTAGGTTATTATTATATTTTTATGGTGAATTAAAATAAGCAAACAGATGTCCTTTATCATATAGAGGTTTTAAATTGTTTTATTTTTCATTTTCAAGAAAAATGTTTTTGATAGTCATGCTTCATGTTTTGACTTACCTTATGACTTATCTTTTTATAATGTGCGTTCTACTGTTTACTGTTGTACATGGCCAAATCAATCCATGAGTGCAGAAGTAGTCAATATAGCAGACTGATGACTGATACCTCTTCTCCATCTTGTTAAAAATTTGCGGTAAATCATTCTCTGGGTTTGTCATTAACAGTATCCATATTTTTATGAAAGAAATCCATGTGTGAATACAAAAATATATATATAGAGACATATTACATCACATATAATTTCTATAATCCTCAAGAAGATTGCATACCTAAAAGTGCCACTTTAGGCCCCAAAACATCTTCATGTCAGTAAAGTCATGTTGGGGTCTTGAAGTTCTGAGTACTGTTTTACCTTATGGGGGTTACACTGATCAGCCACAACATTAAAACTGCCTACCTAATATCTTATAGGTCCACCTTATGCTGCCAAACAACTCTAATGTGTTGAGACATGGACTCCTGTCTGGTAGTTCACATCAAAACATTACATAGAAACACAGAATGTGACGGCGGATAAGAACCATTCGGCCCATCTAGTCTGCCCAATTTTCTAAATACTTTCATTAGTCCCTGACCTTATCTTATAGTTAGGATAGCCTTATGCATATCCCACGCATGCTTAAACTCCTTTACTGTGTTAACCTCTACCACTTCAACTGGAAGGCTATTCCATGCATCCACTACCCTCTCAGTAAAGTAATACTTCCCGATATTATTTTTAAACCTTTGCCCTCTCTAATTTAAGACTATGTTGTCTTGTTGTGGTAGTTTTTCTTCTTTTAAATATGGTCTCATCCTTTACTGTGTTGATTCCCTTTATGTATTTAAATGTTTCTATTATATCCCCCCGTCTCATCTTTCCTCCAAGCTATACATGTTAAGATCCTTTAACCTTTCCTGGTAAGTTGTATCCTGCAATCCACGAACTAGTTTAGTAGCCCTTCTCTGGACTCTCTCTAAAGTATCAATATCCTTCTGGAGATACGGTCTCTGGTACTGCGTACAATACTCCAAGTGAGGTCTCACCAGTGTTCTGTACAATGGCATGAGCACTTCCCTCTTTCTACTGCTAATACCTCTCCCTATAAAACCAAGCATTCTGCTAGCATTACCTGCTGCTCTATTACATTGTCTGCCTACCTTTAAGTCATCAGAAATAATCACCCCTAAACCCCTTTCCTTAGATGTTGAGGTTAGGACTCTGCCCTTGGGTTTTTACATCCAAGATGCATTATCTTGCACTTATCCACATTAAATATAAGTTGCCGCAACTCTGACCATTTTTCTAGTTTACCTAAATAATTTGCCATTTGGCTTATCCTTCCTGGAACATCAACCCTGTTACATATCGTAGTGTCTTACCATCAAGACCTGAGTAGTTAGAAGGATTGCGGCCTAGCTGGGTTAACAGATACCTGACATATTTCTTGAAGGTAGAGATAGTAAGCACTGAGCCTTGTAATAAAAATAAGGCCTGTGATGGTTGTGATTTGGGATTTTGAAGGTAGGAATCAAGGACCGCAACTGGGCACCATTTATTGTGGGTAGGATATTATGTTATCTCTACTGGTGGTGCGTGTTGACTCGTTTTGGAATGTGGTAGAGCCAATATGTAGTGATCCATGTGTTTACGTAGGTGGGATTGTTGAAGACAATGATCTGTCTGAGTGGTGGTGATAGTAGTAAACTCTCTTGGCCTGAGAAAGCCGTAGAAGGCTATGTACATGGCTGTTTTAATTACTGGTAGTGGAATTAAATACATCCTAATAGGTTTGATAAGGATTGGAAAAGTTGGTTGTCTATTGGTAATCTCTGTGAGGTACGTGGGGAAACTGATTTCTGAATACCTCTGAGTATGTTCTTTTATCTGGTATGATGACATGAAGCTATGGTTGTTTGGCCATAGGGTTAGCATTTGGTGTTGAATAAAAATATATAACATGCACAACCTAAAATATATCAAACAAAGAGAGACCACAATAGTGTAGATAAGATAAATCACCAAAAAAGATAAAAAACAAGATACACTCACAAACATATGGGTGAAATAGGCAGAGTATGTAAATTTCATTCAAGGACTTCTTTTCTTCTTTTTTCCACTTTAAAAATTTCAGAGAGCCTTAGCATGCTCTGTAACTTTGAACTCACATGTTATAATGTACAGCAGTGTTCCCAGGCAGATCCTATTCCACAAAGGCTTCTTATAATTAAAATATCCACACTGCTAAGTGTGGATATTTTAATTATAAGAGGCCTTTGTGAGTGTATCTTAGTTTTTATCTTTTATGGTGATTTATCTTATCTACACTATTGTGGTCTCTCTTTGTTTTATATATTTTAGGTTGTGCATTTTATATATTTTTGTCTGTATTCAAGAAGACATAGAGGAGTCTTCGCACTACCTTTAAGGGTAATTTTTATTAATTTCCCCCTTTTCCACGATTGTTTGCCACAAGTGAAAATATTGCATTTTGCATATTTCTGTTTTTATATGTGGTGTTGAATGCCTATCAAATATAATTTAATTGTGTTGTGAGATAGTTTCAGTTTAAGATGGCAAAAAGAAGCAAAACCTAGGAGAGATGTTATGACAAAAGGTTGAGATATGTCGTGTTCCAATAGGAATCTTTTAAACAAGGTGAAGACTCTGTTATATGTCCTACGAGTATTGAATGAAAGTTGCAATTGGGATAGTTCACTATGAGTATGTCTAATCCATGATTAGATGCTGGAATGAAGGAATGGCTGTGGCTGATTGAGCGGCTGTAGGAAGCGCTTGAAAAAATGCCTGGAATTTAAATCAAGACAAATTGTCAGCGGCTATGTTACAAACACCTGGTACATGAAAGCAAACCAAAAAGAAATTGTGACATGCGGCCAACCAAGTGAGTTTCCTTAGAAATCTCATGATCGTTAGAGATGATGAGCGGCCCTTGTTGATGATATGGCATGTGGCTTGGTTGTCTGAGTAACAACAGACTGATGACCCTGACCATAAATGACCCCATGCCACAGCAGCCGCCACAATAGGGTAGATCTCAAAAAAGTGCTGAGGTAGTGGAGAAACCTTCCAAATCCTGGACTTCTATAGGCCAACTGCCCCAAAGCCATTCATTCCCGTAGATTGCTGCAAAACCCGTGGTAGACGCCGCGTCTGACCATATGGTTGGTGAAGTGTCAGACAAACCTGGGAGGAACATGCTTTTACCATTCCATGTAGTTAAGAAATTTGTCCACATGGGCAGATCTGGCGTGGCTTGCGTATCTAGGCACAGCCTATGATCGTCCTGTCGGAAGTATGGAAAAAGGCAAAGTAGTCTGGATATAAAAGCACGGCCTTGTGGTATGATGCACATGGCAAAATTTAAGGAACCTAGTAGGCATTGTGGCTCCTTGCGGTTGCAAGAACCAAGCAGGAGGTAGTGATTGATGTTGTTGAGAATATTCCCTATTTTGTCTTGTGATAAACTCGCTTGCATGGATGCCGAGTCAAATTGTATGCCAAGGAATTTGATGGTAGTGTCTGGGCCTTCTGTTTTCTTAGGGGACACTGGGACACCCAAGTGGTCAAACAGACTAATGGCTTCCTTGAGGCTTCTAGGGGGAAAGGTGTTCTCTTCGACCATCAATAAGTCATCTAGATAGTAAATGCAACAGTCTACATGCACTGAAACTACACGTACCTAAATTGTTGCAAATCTGGGATTTGACAAAAAAGATAATGGGATGACCCAATTTGTCTCTGGTAGTTCTCTCCGTTCTACCAGAGGTGCTAATGCCTGGAGCATAAGAGTGATCGTCCGCTGTGTTGGGTAAACAGCACAAATCACATCTCTATAAATACCAAAGGATAAAAACAAACTCAGGGATGGTCAGTTTCCTGTTTAACCTTGAATCCCTGGATCTGACCACCACAGATACAACATCATACGCATATGTCTTATTCTCGACAATATCCTGGGAGGCAATTTGCAATGATGCTAAATTGACACATTTACCTTCCAGGATATCTTTCTTAATGTGGGCTGGAATCATGTGTGCAGGGTTAATGTCTTGAGCCTCAGAAGAGGTGTCTGAACCCACTAATTGAGGGCTGTGGTGACAGACTCGAAATTCTCCAGCCTGTCGTTCACTTTGCTCATGGAATTAATGAGTGATGCTAACATAGCATGGATGTCACCATTAATTGGTATTAATTGTGACTTCCCCCGCCTCTATGTTATCCGTTGATGAGCAGCTTAAATAGTTCCGCTTTCCTTGCTGTAGCTGGGTAGGGGATTTGTCGCCTCCTTAGCTTGGTAGTAATGCGTGGGATTGTCAACGATCTGATCGATTACGGTTTGGTTTGTATTAGGACTCAATCTGCGTCGCTGGAAAGCTGTTTAACTGGAAAACCTTGCGACTTGAATTCTGAAAACACAGCTATAGTAGAAGACCTCAAGGAGCACAGGTACTGTCAACATGGCGTCTGGATAAACCCGGAAGTGGATATAGTTCAAACGCTGACCTCAAACGGTATGGAGCCAGGTAAAGGGTGTTCTTTAAGTAGGTAAGTGCATAATAAGCCCCTCCCACAATTACAGGCCAAATGACCATAATACATATATATATATATATATATATATATATATTTATACACACACACACATACGTATTATGTCATGTAATATATTGGAAGTCGGAGCCTGAAGTTGTGGGAGAGGTTACTCGGATATTTAAACTCAGGCCCCCTACACCACAGGGCTGATGCTGCTGGGTTCATTTCTACTTCCGGTTCAAAGGTCATCAAGGCAGAGTGCCTTAAACTCCAAACAAGATGGTCTGGGCCTACTGTGGCTCCCACGGCGATCGGATCAAGTTCTCCCTGCTCCAACAACTCCCATCATGCTGTTCCAGCCACACACGGTCAGAGACTCCCACGCCGATTGGACCAAGTTCTCCCTGCTCCAACAACTCCCATGACGCTGTTCAAGCCACATGCGGTCAGAGACTACTCACCTCCTCTCCAGAACTGACCGTTCGTTCCCGCCGGCACTATGAGACTCCTTCCCAGCTTCTCGGGCCTTTTCCTGGATCAAAACTCTGTGTCCGCCGAGTCTGGGTACTTTCCAGCTGCATAGCTGACCTTTCACCTTACCGCAGCTTCCGGGTCAATTCGTTTGCTTCCTGTATCAGTCAAATCTTCGAACCGTGAGTCTGCCCGAACGGGCTAAATCCATGTGCAAACACTATTGTTCACACGTTTATGTCCTTACATACCGTCCATTTGGGACTTTTTCCCCGTTCAGGACTTAAGTCAGTTGGCCTACTCCTGCCTTGCTCTTTGTTCCATACCGTACTAGTCTCCAATCTATCTCAGTTACATGCTGCCATCTAGCGGCCACTACAATTATAGTTCCCATTCATTAGTTTTACACTGTTCCCTGATACATGTAATGTCCAGGTTCTTTTGAAATGTATTTAGCCTGATACTAATTGTCCTTACATGCCCCCTGTAGTTCGGTTATGTTTGCTATGTTTCTTGTTATTATTTACAATTGTGAACGGATATTGTCAGTTTCCCATTACTAGTTCAGCTCTGGCACGTGTTTAATGTTCACTACGTATATAGCATTTCCATCATATATTGCAATGTCTTCTATCACCATAATTCTATCACCTATGGACTTGGTACTGTTCTGAGGCAGTCATCTCATTCACATTTGTTACTATGTGTTATGGCCAATCTGTATACTTGCTCCCATCATAGGTATTTTACTTATTTGGAGCACGACCACCTATTCGCTAAACCTTTTTAGTAACACACCACACTCCTATGTTCAGTATATGTATCATCATGTTCCTTGGTACAAACCCTAGTGTACCAGGATTTACCATACAATCACACGATCCCCTTGACTCTACGTCAAATAATCTCATATTATGCACTAAAGGTTATTTTCTCATCGCTGTTATATTCTACTCAATCAGATTCATCATCCTAACCAACCCTTGCTATTTAGGCATGGTTTCAGTAAACCTACATCAACTCCACTCTAACTGTTCTATGTTACATCAGCCAACACTGGCACGCAATTCCTCCATCAGGCCATACAAATGCCCACGCCCGGGGATCCTTAATTCCCCACACACACACACACACACACCCTTCCCATGCTGTCACGACCATATAATTAAATATTCTAAGTCCTACCAGGATAACTCAAACTACCCTCATAGCTTGGTATTTCATATCACCCTATACATATTTTAGCTACAGAAGTCACATGACCAATTAGCGGTCACATATGACTCTGCCTATTCCCCATTATTGTTGCAGTATCGGCTAAACACTCCCCCACGGTCTCTGGTAGTGGCCTAGGATCCTGACCCTACTCACTTATAGGGATATTTTATTTATGTCCTATGAATCTTGTACCCACCATGGTAGGATCAGGATTCTAATGACTATGACCTCAAGTTACCTACTCATAGCCCAGCCTCAAGAACAACCACTCCCATGATACAAGTGTATTTTCATTCATAGTAAGTCAAGCCCAATTCCAGTTCCAAGTGGCCTCCCACCATAATTTTCCCTTTAGGTTCTCCAATATCTCATTCCTCTGGCAAGGAAACCTCATTCTACCCAGAGCAAGGTATATTTACCCACCTCGCTACTACCCATCACCCGTCCCATTCGCGGATCGGGTATGTCAACTGGCGGTCTGGTTCCCAGCTAAATTCAAGAAAAAAAAGGTGATTATCGCACACGTAAAAATAGCTAAATTTTACCTTACAAATTTTTTTTTCGGTAACCACAAAGCAAATACTTTTTACACCTATATAAAAACAGACAAAGCATACATAGTGTAATCTGTTTAAAAAGTAATGAAGTGAGGAAAAATATTTCTTCAAACTCACAATTTTCGGAGCTATTAGTAAGTTTTTGCGCTATTTAAAAAATTGAACCTCAGTGGAGAGGGGGAGATCTCCCAAAAAAATTGAGTACCCAAGAAGTAAAGTGGATTTTTGAAATACGCACCTTATTCCCTTTAGGTCTCAATATTGATTTTGAAATTAATAGTATTTTATAAAGGTCATTGCTATTATTAATTTTATATTTATTTCTTAATGTATTTTAATTGGGGTGTATCTATGTTTTCTCCTATCTATATATTTTTATATATTTATTGTGAAAAAATGTTTTAATATTATTTGATATAGGTATAGAAAATGTCAAATAATACCATATATTTTTTTTGTCTCCCTTCCTTTTATACATATCTCTTCTGTTCCTCTTTTTTAATTCCTTTTTTGTATGGACATTCAACTATGAACTGAGAAAATGTATACAAATGAAAATGGCTGGTTACATTGGCCTTAATTTTGACAAGCCCGAAAAAGAACGGACATCAGAAATCATGTGACTGCGAAAGAAAATTAGAATACATACGTCACCGGAAGTGACGTATCGAAACACAGACGCTGAGACCGTCTGAAGGAATCAGATCGAATAAGACTCTATGAGATCACAATTACTAGCGGACATGTTGGGGAGGGCACGAATAATGGGATCCATAGCCGGAGGTGCGGCCATCTTTTGAATGGCGGACACTTCCGGCTATGACCATATATGGAAGTGGGTGGTATTGGCAACACATTTGTTCATAATTATGTACTTTGTTCCAATAATTTTTTGTTATAAAAGGGCTTTCCAGCCCAGTTGAAGTCAGATGCACTTGAGAAAGACCTGTGAAAGGTTGAAACGCGTTGTGCTATTTTTTTTTACTATTATTTACTATTTTTTGACTTGTATATGTATACATATTTTCTTATTTTTCTTTAAGAATAAATATCTTTTATATTAATCCTCCGCGGACTTTGAATTTTACTGGAAATTTTACCAGCTACAAGTTCCTGTGGATATTGTGGATACATCAGTATACCTCCTAAAGATGAGATGATGGGCACTATAAGTTTAGAGCTAACTTACTAATAGCTCCGAAAATTGTGAGTTTGAAGAAATATTTTTCCTCACTTCATTACTTTTTAAACAGATTACACTATGTATGCTTTGTCTGTTCTTATATAGGTGTAAAAAGTATTTGCTTTGTGGTTACCGAAAAAAAAATTTGTAAGGTAAAATTGAGCTATTTTTACGTGTGCGCTAATCACCTTTTATTTCTTGAATTTATCACTTTTTAAGTGTATCTTGGTGACACTACACTTGGGTTATTTTCAGCTGCACTATTTGTCCTATATCCTTAAGCACCTTTTCTTGTCCTTTTTTCGAGTTGTTTATGGTTCCCAGCTAAGCCAGTAACTAGCCTCATCATTATCAATTCCGTGAGGCCAACACCCATCTTCCTCCTGCATATGTAGGTATACGCCCCTTGGCCCAACGCATAGCTAACGCCTCACATCAACCTCTCCAGGTTACCAGTAAGGGCCTCACCCAGCACAGCCTCTTATATTGACTCTTTTTTTTACAGTCCCCGAGAGGCCAATGTTCCTGCCACATCTTTTAGTGGCCCCTGCCAAATCATAGGTAGAGCCTCTCTCGGCCACTTGGCATTAAGGGCCTAACCCTCCTGGTAGTTGAGATAAATTCTTCACCTTTAGTTTTAGCTAGAGCCAGTTGACACAGAATCACGCTATTATTTGTTGTGCTCACCCGACTCCTATTTGGGTCTCAGCATGTCTATAATCCCAGAACAAGACAGGGACCTCACTGCCCCGTACTCCAACCTGACTTCCCACCCCAGCTGGGCCTACCACCCCTGCAGACTACCTGGAGCCTGCTAACCCTGGTTCCCCACATTCCTGGACCATCCTAAAATTAACAAGTTGTACTATGGCATTTAGGGATTCCATTCCCGGCCACAGCTCGCAAACCAAACTATATAAACTTCTGCTCAAATTACCAGTACACCTCAGCCGGGCACTAGCTCACAGTCAGGTAATCTGGATAACTACAATGAAGTCAAGCAGTTGATATCCACTCTACTTGCCTCCATACAAAACATCAACGATGGACTAGAGACACTGGAATCTCAACAGGCACTGACGCACGGCCCAGCCACAGGGCTCCTAAATCCCTCTCATGGTTATGTTATCCCTTCAAATCCCGCCCCTAGCACATCTGTTTACATTGTCATTCCCACATACTTTGTGTCCCCGTCCAAACGCAAAGACATCCGGAAGGGTTAGTTTAGTCTCCTTACTGATTGCATCCCACAGTGTCTTAGCGTACAAGTCTTACTACTACTACGATGATCTGTCCGTCGTTCTATAGACCAGAATCCCAGACTCAATCAGAAATTCACTATCCCAGAATTCATCCTGACCTTCAGTCTTTTCGTGACGTAAGTGACTCTACTTCTCCTCACCATAGAGAAGGTTTGCATCGACAACCAGGAGCTTTACCTCCAAGCACACCCTTCCCGTCACCTAGTCGACTTCTACATCAAGGTTTTCACACACCATTTCCACACAGGTCTGGTTACACTCCTGTCCGGTATTCATGAGTGTCAGAACCTTCAGTCCGCATTAATAGACCCCGCAACACAATCACGTTGCTTAAGAAGGTATTTGACAACCCATATTAATTACCCACCCCTAGCCTCAACTCATTGATTTCCTCTAAGGAATTCTCCCAGCACTATGCCATAGGGGATGACCGAGTCTTGGGTGGACAAGACAGACATTTCCAACGCCTCCAAGCTTCTACCTATTCAGCCATCCCAAGGGTATGTTCGTGGCATTTTATGGAGGGATTGTCATTACTTTCCCACACATTAAACTTTTAGAACAAAGAGTAACCCCAAGCTGTTTGTCTTATTTGCTAACACACTATGTTGGCTACCACTTAATATTAGCGAATGTCCTGCAGTCACCCGGTTTCTTAGATGACTTCCTCACGATAGAACACCCTCACTCCACTCTGGTTAGTATTCACAAGACGATGGCACTTTTTCACCAATAGGGGTTCCACTTTCACAAACTGATCTTCTTAGGCATTCATCTTGACCCTATCACGCTACAGAACATGTCCACCTACAGAGAAGGTACAGCGCAACGAAGTCCGGGGGAACCTTTTTCTTGCGAAAAGGTCGTGTACCTAGGGGAATCTACAGTCCTTACTGGGCACGTTGAACTTCGTCATGAGAATTATTCCTCAGGCCGCACATTTATTTCACGACCACTGTGTCTTCT